CAGCCCCAGAAACCCTGGAGTTGGAAGTGGCTTCAGGGGTAGCAGCAGCTGGGGGGGAAGGGTGATCATCGGTGATGTGGGGGCCAGGGACCCTGACTGAGAGAGGGACTGTGCTGCAGGCTGCCGGATTCTTGGCTGCGTTGGCTTTTGATTCTCTGGAGTGACCTCCGGGCAGCCTCCGTGTAAAATCACCTCTTTATGTTCATCAGAAATTTCACACACAGAATTTCCTCCCCCAACTTTTTTTTTTTTTTAACAGACACCAAACCAGATCCAGGAAGAAGAATCCTTTTGAATGTGGGAAAAATTATAATCATGCAGCTTAGCACTTACAAAAATTCAAAAATCCATAAATAAACCTTGAGAAAGGAAAGAAATATTTTAAATACTTTCGGTAACCCAAGCAACATATGACAACTCCTTTCTTCCTCCCTCTACCTGCTTTTTGTAACCTCCGATCAGGAAATCAGCAGAGTTTGGAATGACATCACACATTGCAGGCTCCCCGTTGGGCGCTCTGGGTACCAAGCAATGTGCCCCCCCAGGGCTGGACATTTGCCACCGAGTGGGATTTGTGGGTTTCCTCAGTGTGGTTTCCTTTCCCTGGAGCTTGGAAATGCCACACAAGGCACCAAGATCCATTTCCAAAATCTGAGCCAGTTCATCGTCAGATCCTCTGTTTTCTGTGATGTGTGTGGCTCTAGGAAAGGAGGGCTGAGCTGAAGTTCCCAAGGCTTGTCTTTGAGGCCTCTCAGCCCTATCCGGGGATGTTCTGGCCAGTTATTATCACTGAAGGACCCTGTTGTGGTGGAATGGACCCCTTTGGGGGCTAGTTATGTTAGGAGCAAGGAAGAGAATCAGTATGTTGGCAAAGATTTTTTCCTGCATCTTTCTCTTTTAAAAAGAGAAACTGCTGTCCCACCTCAAATGACCTTTTCAGTCTATCCCTTTTCTCCACCGTCCTATGGTGGCGTTCCAAAGACAACTGCTGTATTCCAGCAGGGGGCGCTGCTGTACCTGCCAAGAGTGAAGTCAGCATGTGTCCTTAGCAAGTGCAGGTGTAAACCCAGTGCTCAGAAGTGTGAGATGTGAGGGAGTCTTCGAAGCGATTTCCCTGGGCTGGTATGTGTATGTGTGCACTCTCAAAGGCAGAAGAGAGTGGGGGTGCTAGCCAGCTTTTGTCTGACGTTGTGTGGTTATAACTCTTGCATGGCTCCAAAGGTTATGTGATCCAGGGGATGGCTGGGGACCCTGCCCCTGCAGAAAGGGAAGGGCATGACATCTGAAGACATCTGGTTTTCATAAAAGGCCCCGCCATTCTTGCTTCATGGCCTCTCTTGCCCCCAGCCACCCCAACATTAGCTACTCTGTTGCCACTCTGCAGTCACTTTGCAGAGCAATGGAGGCTCAGGGAGTCAGGGAGTCGGGGAGTCGGAGGGCAGGTGGAGTGAGGAGGCAGCATCTGCCACAGGCTCTCTGTCAGACCCAGTACTAGCAATGGGGCTGATTCTTGGTTTCACACCACTGTGTCTCCTGGAGCAGGTTCCCAGACACAGAAGGCCCTTTTCTTCAAGACCAAGCATGCGTGTCTGTCTGTCTCAACCCACTGGCCCCTCAGGAATGGGCTGTGCAGCTGTCTGCCCTCTGTTCATGATTAACTTTCCTGTCTCCTCCTTTCTCCAAATCCCACACTGGCCTCCTCAGCCTTTGGGGTTCTCTTGGATTGGGGCAGAGACCCAGACTGGCAGCTGCCTGCCACTTTGTTCTCAGAGACTGAGGGCTCTGGGAAAGGCCTTCGAGATACTGCCATCTGGGACATTCCTTGCTGGGCATAAATTGTTGGGTGGGATGGGATCTGGAAGAAGACCCCTCCTCTGACAGCTGCAGTCCTCACTGACTTTGCTTCCTGCGGTCTGAATGTGTCCAACTTTCTTGGTCTACCCCAAAGTGCCCCATGGATGTGGCCTTAGAACACCTTCAAGTCATGAATGTGACAATTTTTCCCTTTCAAACTGTGATTTCTTCAAGGATAGTGTTTGGTGCAAGTGTGTCTCTAACACCTAACACTGCCTGTTTTTCTTTTTTAAGAAAGGTGCTTCAGACTCAGAGCCTTTGTCAGGCTGGTAAATTTGTATTTGTTTTCATGGTATGAACAGCAAGTGATAAAGAATTTTCATTTAGGGTGGTAACAATGTTTTCTTTTAAAATTAAGTAAAAGTGAGTTGATTTAATTAAATCAACCTTAATTAATTAAAGTTGATTTAGTTAAAACATTATCGATAATAACAGAGTAACATGACGTTAGGACAAAAAATTGTGAAGGTGATATGCGAATGGCCCAAATTTGGCTGGCCAGACCAACTGTACAGGGTGGCCAGAAATGGTCTTGTTTTGTGGTTTGGTGAGTGTTTGCCCTGTCTGTTTTGGGCAAGGAGAGCCTGAGGTTTCTTTCTCTCCTCCTGGTCTCTTGCACAAAGCTGCACAAATGTTGGTGGAATGGGCAAGCCTAACATTGATCATTGTTACATTTTCTGCCATTGATGAGCGTCCTTGCATTTTGGTGCCCCCTCTCTGGGGTATGGGTGTGAGGGTCTGTAGGGGGCTGGGGTAGCAGTTAAGCAGGGAAATCCTATCTGTCTGTGCTCCAAGGTGGCTGTGGGACAGAGCCAGAAGGAAACCTCTACCTCATAGGGACCCAGGAATCAGAGTCTGAGAGTTTGTGGTCTTTTGGAGACAGCTTTGTGTTTTCAGCCACATTGGAAACATCGTGGTTGTGGGGAGCTGAGAGAGCCTGGGACCCCAGAACAAGCATGAACAATGGAACTTGTCTGGTGGAAAGTCTTGTCTTGTGGCTTTCATTCTCAAATCCTGTTACCCACTGTGTCCTGAACTAGCTCCCAGGCAGTGGGATATGGGTGGGAACTACTCATATTCTCACCCACCGGGCACGGGGTCAGGCCTTCCGTTGAAGTGTGACCTTCCCCTGTGTGTGGATAAAGTATACCCCATGCTGGACCAGACTTATGGCCAGTGCTACTGTCATCCTCTTTGCCATCTAGTTAACTTGTCTGTACTCTGTGCTGCCCTGGGTGAGGGAAGCTCTGAGCTATGTGCTGCAGTCCTTCTGTCTTCCTCATCTGGGACACTCATTTTTCTTTTCCCCAGACCAATTCTCAGGTCACTGCTGGTATAGTCTTTGCAGCCTGCCTAACTGCCAATCCCAGGATTGGGGCCTGGGTCACTCAAATCTCTGGCTATAAATAGATGCTCATGGCTGTATCTGTGATCCCCCACCGTCCAGGCAGGCTGGGGCTGGGGGCAAAGTCATTGTTAATGGATGTGTTATAAACAGACTAGGCGCATTTCTGAACCACCCTGTTACCCCAGGGAGAGCCAGGGCTGAAGCTGCACCTCAGGCCCTTGAACTGTCTGCAGCTCTTTTCCTCCTCCAGCAGGGTCCCCTTCCCTGCCTGGATTTTCTGTTTGCTTGAAAGCCAGACTGTATAAAAAACAAGCCAAATTGCTTCAGGGACTTCTTTGGCCCCAACAGGGCTGTTTCCAAAGATGGACTAATTGGCTTGTTTTAATTCCCTCCAGCCCCCTGCCCGCTTCCTTCCCCCCAGGGGGCAAAGTGGTTAGTTATGCTTGGTGGAGGGCAGAGGGGGCTGGGGGCTGGACAGCAAATGGAACTGGATGAGGGGGTTTATGTGTGCACCCGGGGCCAATAATAGAGGTCAGGTCATGGCCCTTTCCCCAGGAGCTGGCGTGACCTGCCGTCCTTCGGTTCTGAAGTAGAGATGAATCTTGGACAGGGTGTGCAGGAGGCAGAGAAGAACGGACGCGGCACGTGTGCCCTGGCCAGCCCTGGGGCCCTGGTGCCGGTGGAGTGGAGCCGGGGGCTCCCAACCTGTGTCTCCCGGCAACCTGGCTGGTGAGGAGAAGGTGTAGCCGTGGTGAAGTTGATCATTGACCCTGTGTTGTGTCAGACTTCCAGGGCTGGAAAAATAATGTTAACGGGGAGCTGACCCCAGCCTACTTCTCCGTCCCCGCACAACGATCCTTCTTCGGACCAGGGAGGGGGAGCGGGGAGGTGGAAGGTAGCATTCCCCCTAATCAAAACGCTCCCCACTGCAAGGGGGCCTGGGCCGGGGAGCTCAGAGCCGGGAGGGCGGGCACCGGGCTCTAGGCGCGGGGTGTCCCTCTAATTTCCTGGTACCCTTGCCCTGGGGCGGGGGAGACCGGCGGTGGCCGCGCGCAAAGGCAGTTTCACTTGGACAGAGGACGCGTGTTTCCTCTCGGTGCATGTTTTTTCTCCCTCTGTTTTAAAGACAGTGACAGCATCGGAGAAGTATCCCGGCGGGCCAGGCTGGGAAAACGCGTCAGCCGCCTCTGCCTGGGGCGGGAGCCGGTGGCCGGCCGACAGGGGCGCGGGGCGGAGGACGAGGGGGCGCAGAGGAGGGGACCGAGAGAGAGAGGGCGCAAGAAGGGCAGCCGGGCCAGCAGGGAGGATACCGAGGAGCGAGGCAGGGGGCGAAAGCCGGCGCCGAGTCCCCGGGAGCGCCGGGTGTAAGCCGGCCGCCTCAACCGCCGAAGCCACCCGCGCCGCCCGCGCTCTGGGCTAGCCGGGAGCCGGCGGCCGGGGCGGAGAGGCGGGGCCGGGGCGGGGTCCCCGCGCGGGCGGCGAGTCTGAGTGAGAGCCGGCAGCCGCGGGCCCGGGCCGCGCCCCGAGCGAGCCTCGGAAATGCCTGCGCCGGGGGAGCGGACGCCAGCCGCCCCGCGGGCCCCGAGGAGAAGCTGAAGGTCGTTGGGAAGTGAGCGCCCAGTCACCTGACCCCCAGAGCGCACCTAGGCGGGGCGGGGCCCATGAGAGGCGGGCGGCCGAGGGCCGGGGCGCGGGCGGAGGGGCCGGGTGCGGGCGGCGCGGAGCGCGCTGAGCCAGGGCAGCGGGGACGCGCGGCGGGCGGGCGAGGGCGCGGCCGGGCACCGCCGGCGGCCTCGCCATGTCCCAGCCGGCAGGGAGGATGCATTGCCGAAAGGCGGGGATCCGCGCCGCGGTGGTGCTCATCGGACTCCTGCACAAATCCCGAAAACAGAATAAAGAGAAAAGGTATGCCTGGCAGCGCCGCCTCCCCTTTCCCTTGCTCTCGTGCTAAATCCCAGTTTTCTTTGGGGTGGACTTTTCAACGGCTATTTGGGTCCGTTTGGGATGGAAAAAAGCCTCCTCTCCAGGCGCTGTCGTGGTGACCAAGTCCGGAGCTTAGTCCGAGGAAACCCAGGCAGGACATTGGCTGAGCCGAAGGGCGGCTGGGAGGGATTCATCTCCGACAGAGGGACACCAAGTCCTTCGCCCCCAGACCCTGCATTTGCAGATCGCGAGGCTTTTCCCAAAGCCTGCAGTTTGGGAAGCCTTGATCCAGCCGGGGCGGCAATCCCGGCTCAGCCGGGGCAGCTCAATGCGCGGTGTTGCCATTTGCTTCTCTGCAACTTGGCTGAGCCCGCGAGGTGCCCGCCTGGCCGAAATGCACTTGCTCTGCGCTCGGGCTGCTAGCAAGGAGCAAGTTTGGAGGTTGCACGGCTGCCCCCACTCCCCGCCTTTTCCTGCGCCCCATCACCTCGTCTCTGTTGTTGGGTTTTTCTATCTTTGACTCTCCGCCTTTCCTGGGTTTGCTCTTCTGCTTGCTTCTGGGTGTTGAAAATCGTTTTCTCGACACTTTGGACGACGTGTGTGGTGAGAGGTGTGGGATTTGGGGTGGGCAAAGGAGGTTCCAGGGCACCGTCCTGCATTCCAGCCCCCAGCTGTAGGCCTGACATCCCCCAGACCCCAGGGAGCTGCCTGTGCAGGTAGTTGGCACAAAGCCTCCCTCTTCTCCTAGGGTACATGGCAGAGCCTCCCAGCAACTAGGGCAGAGTGGGGGACATTGAAGCTGCCAGGATGCGGTGGCCCTGCTGGATCCTAATTTGCACAGGAGTTTTTGGAGTAGTTAGTGCTGCACTCTGTGTAAGACAAAGGCTACAGAGACACCTGGGTGGTGAAAAGCAGCCCCTGGATTTGCCCAGAAGCTGGGTGTACCTGGGGGAGGTGGTGGGCAGTGAGGGGGAGGGACTTAGAGGAGCTGGCATTCGTTCCCCTTGTGGTGAGGTTGTCTGTCATCCCTATTGTCCTTCCTTCCCATGATGTAGTCTAATAAGATAGGATGAAGCTGTAAAATGACTTAAAGTGGTTAAGCATAAAATAACATTGAGTCACCTAGTGAGAAAGTTCTTCCCTTTTCACTTCTCTACTAATTCTTGTGATTTCTTCAAGGATAAAGTTTCAGAGTTGGTGCTAGTCAGGCTTTAACACCTTCCCCCCCGCCCCCCAATCTTCGTTTTGTAACAAACAGAGGGCAGACCTCTGGCTCAGGCATCTGAGTGGTGAGCAGTACCTGCCTATAGAGCTTAAAGGTTATCTTGTTTTTATACTATTTATTATTATCGGCAGTGGTACTGGTTTTTACACTTGCGGTGATATAAAGCATCCCTATCAATTAAATGTATGAAGTCGTAAGAATGAGTCTATTGAATAGATGTAGTAGTAATAATAATACAAATGGTATTGAATATGGCAGAAACCCTGCAGGTGATCTGGGAGTGGCTGAGGCTAGGGACACTTAATAAAAGCTGTCGTCAGAACTCTGGAGCTCAGCTCTGAATGCTGGGTTTTGATTCTCCTCTGTCCCTTATTGTTTAGCATTTTATCTGTAGAGGAGGATGAACAAGCCAACTCTCTAAAGTTAGAAGGATAGATGAGATTGCAGGTCTGAGACAACTTGGGTCTGCTTTGAGGGACGAAAAGGAGAACATACCTGATAGATGCCTCGCATCGGAACAGTTCCCAGCTTTGAGTACAGAAGGAGTGGTGAGGTGGACAAGCCCCTGAACAGGGAGCTAGAAGTTTTAGTCCTGTTGACTATGATGTGATGATATAGGTTTAAAGTCCCTAAGGCTCAGTTTCTGCTTCCACACAAAGGGTTTGTGAGGCTCAACTGAGATATTGTAGGTGAAGATGCAACTGAAGGGTATGAAGTGCTGTGCAAGGATGAAGGGGGTTTGATCAGAACTGCTTTCATTTTTCTCTGACTGGGTATGGGTCAAGGAGGCAGCTGGGCAGGCCTGGGGGGATGCAGTGAGGCACAGGGAAGGACCTAGACAGAGACAAGGGGTGGTTGGGGCCAGGGCGCCCCAGTCCCGTGGTGTCTTGTCTTTCTTCACTGTACTCTTCCCTGCAACGCAGGCAGGCATGAGTGGCCTTCCCAGCCCTTGGCTTCATTGCATTCTTCTGTTGCTCCAGCGATGCTGAAGGCTTTCACCAAGGGCTTAACCTACCCAAGGAGAGAAAGGAATTGGTTTCATCTTGGTCCTAAATCTAAATGATCTTTGCTTCTCTTGTGTATGGTGTTTCTTTGTCTTTAAGCATCTGAAATTAGTGCAGTGAACACTATTGACCCTTGCTCTGCAGGCACTGGCAGCTACAGAGGCAGGGAGCTGGGAGGTTAGGGGCTGGAGTAGGCTGTAGCTTCCAGCCTCACTAAGCATTCCTCAAACTCCATGCTGGGTGTTAAATTTGCTGAGTTCTTTCTTCATCCCTCTCTCATCACAGGGTCAGATCAGATTCAGGCCTCTCCTTATCCTTCCAGGAGGCCTGATCATTTCATCGATCTTCCCAGCACCTCTAATTGACAAGCTTGTGCAGATAAGACTCTTGGCTCTTAGCCTTAAGGGTTGAAATGGTTGCATGTGGCTTGCAGTGATGGCCCAGTGATCCTTGTCAACCTCCTACTCTCTCTAGGCTACTTAGAAATATTGCATATTAGGGGAGAGGGAAGTGTACCGGGGATGATGGGAATGAGGCAGATATGAAACAGATATCCCATATAGGTCCAGAACCAGGAGACTCCCAGGTGCTCTCAGTAGTTCCTGAGAATTATCCAAAAACTGCAACCTCAGCTTGCCTCTTGGAGAAAGGCTCATCAGCCTCATACTTGACCGCTCTCTACCAGAGCTGTGGGACAGCCTGGGGGTCTGCCTCTTTCTGGCCATCTTCCAGTGTTACTGTGAAACAGGACCCTGCAGAAGCAATGATGTGTCTGAGAGGGGACTGGATTAGAGCCTGGTTCCCAGGAGGCACCTGCATGCATCCTTTCTTGGGGACTGCAATTTGGAAACCACTGTAATGATTGTGCCTTTAAAGTGTTGGATTTTAAGAGCATGGTTTCTTAAAGATGTGGCAGATGAGAGTAAGGTCCTGAGCGCTTCTCAGTGGTGACAGAAGTGGGTGGTAAGGAGCTTGGTCCCTTGGGGCGTGGGGAATAAGCACCTTTGGTGGGAAAGTTGGAGTCAGAGGAACACAATCAACATATATATGTTCTGGGTCACACTCAAGTGTGGGTGTGATTTTCTGAACCACAGAGAGGTCAAGTAGCAGCATAAAAGGAAAATAAATCTACTTCTTATGGGGGGTAGTTATTTTGGGACAGCTCCCATCCATTATGGGGTTCATGAAGAGGAAAATTTGGGTTTATCATTCAGCAAGTACTGACTGGCAGGCTCTGGGGACAGAGTGAATCTAA